TAAAAGAAAGCACATGTGTTTTGTCATCCTACTGTAGAAACACAAATAGGGCTGAAAGGTGGTGTCACTATTGTTGTTCTACGTACCTCTAAGTCAACAGCATACAATAACACTTGGTGTTACGTGCACGTGACTGCGTTTAACATGTGTTTGCCGCCACTCATGATCAAGTAAATCGTGTCGTGTATCTTGGCTGACCAATATATGGGACACTGTTATCTATGCTTTTTTTGAATTCAAGTTGTCCAAAAATCAAATCAATTATTTGTGTTCAATTTCAAGTTGTCTCAGAACTAAGTGAAGTGGACTCATTAGCATTTCAAGTAAGCCTGCTGACCTCATCGCGGCTTCTTAGCGACGTCTGAACGACCACTGTGCAGCACAGGCTTCTCAACTTCTTTTAGTGGAACCTGGGTTCGATCCCCAGTTCGGTCGATGGATTCGTACTGCTGATGAGATTCAACCGGGTTGCAAGAGCTGTCCAGTACATCCCAGTGTTTTTTTTAGTTCACGCTTCATTTTTTCTTTAGACGACGAAATAACAATTAAAATTTTATCAGCGGAAGAACGTTGAAATCAATTACGCAAAAGCGTTTTGAAAGCGATCGTGTGACGGACAGACTGAGAACAATCAAGCGAACTGCTGCTCATCACAGCAATGCGTAGAAAAACACACGAACTGACTGCACTCGTGAGTGTCCGAATCGGGTCACCAACCCACCTTATTCCCTCAGATAAGCGCGATCACCCAGGGAACATGTGTACACTAATAATCCACTTTGACAGCTGCGATCTTAATCCTACTGTAATGCGGTGACTGCAACAGGAATTGAACCACGAACGATTTAAGATGGGGTGTAAAATTGGATTTTGGTTGGGAATTGGTTCGTCTTGTATGAGTTCGGGAGTGAGAGTAATGACAGATAGATAGTGTTGTATCCGTGTTACGTGGCTCAAGGAGAAGTCGCTACAGTCAATCCAGTGAGGAAAATGAACTCAGTCATTTGTGCTATTGCGATTGAAACATAACTAACCAATCTGATCTACTCGTGAATCAAAAGCAATTAGAACCCATGGTTAATTTGGCGCCGAAAAATTATATATATATATATATATATAACATCGGTGCCAACGCCACAACAATATTAACAACAACAATAACGGGAGGGGTTGGGATATAGTGCGTAGGAAAAAGACATAACTGTTAAAACGGAAAATTAGGAATAAATGGAATAATATTTTTTTGTGTTTCATCGTACACTTTTTGATATTTGTTGTGTTGTTCGTTGTTTTTAAGGGGTACGGGATTTCGACAGGCAGACCGTACAGCACTCGCGCAGTTGACTTCTATTCTGGGTCGCATCTCTAGGCTTCTCTAACCAAGGACAATCCTCATCCTGTGGGTCCCAACCTGGAATGCGGGCCACGCCAGCCGAGGCCAAAGCTGAAGCCAGCCTCATACCTCTAAGTCATATCATGATCTGACCGCCGCGTCGCTTCTTCCATCCTTGCTCGGCACGTGCAAAGAGAGCACGGGAAGGTAGTCGATGGGCAGGCATACGCGATACGTGACCAAGCCATTAGAGGCGGTGTAGAGCGATTATTTCTGTTAGGGAACGACTGTCCATACCCAAAACACGACTCTTCATTGCTCACCCAATGTTCTTACCAGACACAAGCAATGCTTTGGAGACATCGATGGTCGAATACATAAAGTCGATTAGCATCCTCCGCTCAGAAAGACCAGGTCTAGCAACCGTAAAGCAGAACACTACGAACTGCGGTGATGTACACCCTTCCCTTAAGGGACAGTCGTATCTCATGGAGGCGCCACAGGTGTCGTAGGTTGACGAAAGCTGCTCTGGATTTCATTATTCGTGAAGTGATCTCGTCCCCAATATTACAACCACCTGCAATCAAGCTTCCGAGGTACTTATAGCTCTCAACTAATTCTAGCTGATCACCACAGAGGGTGAGTGCAGGCACAGAGTCCTGTCAGTCTTGAACAAGCACTTTGGAAGGTGTAAAGCACATACCATATCTGGATACCTCAATCGCCAAGCGGTTCAAAGCGTCTTGGACTGCCTGTGTGATGCCACCCAGCAAAGCGATGTCATCGGCATTTTCTAAGTTAGCGACTCTTCCCTGGGAGGAGTTTGAATCCACCGTTCTCTAGACTGGACAAAGCATTCTGTAGAACATCCTTTATGACAAAGTTGAAAAGGAATGAGAATACACGGAAGCCTTGTCGGACTCCACTGGAAGCGGCGAACGGTGGTGAAAGCTGGTCACAGGCCCTAACCCGACCTGAGGTATGACGATACAACTCTTTGGGGATCAACACATAATTTTCAATCATGATGGCTCAATCTAAATGATTATTGAGCAAAGCATTTACATTTTGAAACCTGCTGTTTTTACTAGTTCTCAACTAGGACTTAAGTATCTTCCTTCGTGTAATGGGGAGTAATCCCCTAGTTTTAAAATACAAAGTGTGAAACAAAGGTATCGTATTTGTTCACAAAGTGCAATATTGGAACAGTGGAACCAACAAAAGGAAAAGATTCACAAAACTGTACGCCAAATGAATCGAAAGTTAGTTTGATTCCATTATGGAATGAGTAATCACAGACTAGTTTAAGTAGCTCACTATCTCGGTACAGTTAATTTTCTTTTCTTCCCAGTTGATAGTAATGGGAGTTTCTAAAATAAGTGTTATTTATTTGGACTTCTTTCCTCAGAATTCATTGTGTTCAAGACAGCATGTATTCCTCAGGATTAGAGTTCTGCTATGGGAAATAAGTGCTAATGACCTCGTTTTAACACTCCGGAAGCGTTAGCCTCAAGCTTGGCTCCTAACAGCGAATCACCACACGTTCACTGCCCCGTCCGGGCTTTGTGCTTCGGACAAACGGGTTTGTGAACAAGCATGGTGGCAACGCCACAATAATACTGACAATAAAAAGAACACGTGATGGTTGGATTGGAATACAGCACAGAGTGAAAAGAAGGCGAAACTGTTTAAAAGGAAAATTGTAGATAATCGGGATGTCTAAAATTGACGAAGTATACCGCCTCTAATCAAATCAGGTGAACCACGCAAGGTCGGATTTACCGGTCTTATTAAAACTGCTCTACCATGCTTTTCTATTTTCATTTAAATCACACCTAACTGTTAGTAGTGGTATGTAATATATGTTATCGAATCGAACTGACCGTTCTTCAGATTTTATCTCCCCATATAATCTGGTCAAATTAGATGGGGTCGTAATCAATGTGATGGACGCTACATATGCACTACTATATGCCCTAATGAGAGCGGACATCGTATACAATACAACTCTATAGTATACGATTGATGAACTTGATGAGCTCACGATTGTGCGTGAAGATGAGGTCAGAGGGGTGATCGGTTCAAATCAAGAATGTTTAACTCAAGCCACTACTCACAAGTAACTGCAAGTTTAATTTAAATGAGCAAGTTATTTTGAATTTGTATTGAACGGAACTTTCTGATACGGCTGCTTTCCTCGAGCGATTTTGCGTGTACATCATGAAGTGTATTCCTCGTATTACTGTGAATATATATAAGCACAGATGAGGGCCTCAAGGTCATCAAGGTATACAAGATTGGGAAAGTTCCTATCACTACTTCTCACCTCCCACTCTAGAACATCATGAACCGTAAAGTACAATGTTAAGTAAAAGTGCATTAGAATTGGGATTCAAATGAAACGTAAGCAAAGGAGGACCCTTCGAAGAGGTGAAAAAAATTTTTAGGAATCATTTTCGACCCAAACCAAAGCAGTGTCATTCAGAATTTTATTGTATCGTTTATCTTCAGCTCTCACGTTCAGATGATAGAAAATTCACAATGAGACACAGAACTGATTAGAATTCTCAAGATTGCTCAATCTCTGAGGGTCAAATGCATCTTTTATCAAAATGTGTTGGTACTGAGAGCAATGATAAAAATGAAATGAAGTACTAGGGGAAAACCGTACACCCGTTCCCACGTCGTTCAGTCTCCTGAACAGTGCTCATCCATCGAACCATTTGAATAGTTCACTCCGGACCTCATAGGAAGAACGCAATCACGCCTCACATTATACCCTGTGGTATATATATATATATATTGTTTATTGTTCGCTTACCTTGCTGCTTTGCCTATCGACACAATAATATATTTTCTTACCGAGGTGATTCCTCTTACCAACTGATGGAGTTGCCAGCTAACTGTCTTCCCCGCAATTGCGTACCTAACAATAGGATAAATCAGCCAACGTTTTAACACGTTGGATCTACTTAAGCACCCTTATTTTGCAAATAAATAATTGGTTTATGCCTATAAGTTTTGAATTGTGTAGGAAACAGCTCCGACTGAAACTCTTCAAAAGCAGTTGGGTGCGATAAGTCCGCGTCCGACGATTCTCCACCTAGATTAACACCGCAGTATTTTTGTCAGTTCAGTTGTGGAGAAAGGAAAATAGTCGACACCTAAGGGGATGGTAACGGCGTAACATACCTGATTTGTGAAAACCAGAGGCTCTATGCAATCGTAAGATGAAAGCTTAAATGCATCAGGTGCGTTGTGAATACGGAAAATATTAACATAAAACTATAGGAAACAAAACACGACCGAAAGGTCTCTTCAGTAGTTCAGCAGTCACCGATCGAAAAGTACAAAGTTCACGAATGGAAATCGAGGACAAATAGAGCAAGGCTTTTGCCCTAATCAAATCATTAGACTGTTACTAGCAATTTGCAAATGTAGTCATTAGTTTATATGTTTGAGCCTTGTAAGAAAGTTCGTGGTTCAGTGTGGGAAAAGAAAAAATCCTGGGTTACCAAACGTACGAGAGTGTGTAACGAGATGTTGTTGTATTAACCACAAATATAGTGAATGATCATCCAAGGAGTCAGTTTGATAACCCTTACCAAGGCCATGTGAGAACAAAGCGAAAACCGGGAAAACTAGATATAAAAGCTTATATAACCGTGTATTTATTTTCCTGATTTCATTGCTGTTAAAAATTCCTTGCCAATGTGGGATGATCGAAGCATTTGTTGAAAGGATTTTATATATCATTCTATACCCTTTAACTTTTATATTGTGTACTTTATTCTTTTAAAGTGTAATTTAAGTCCATAAACATGTTTGTAGTTGGCACCAATAAAAACTAGCAATCAAAATAGAAATCTACTTTCATTTTGTTTTCTGCAATGGCCCCAGGAGTCACTAATACTTTTTCGAATGGTCTAAACTAATAACCAGTTAACAAAACAAAAACTTACTTCGTCCATTAGTTGATCCGCCGACTGCTTGTATACATTTAACTTCGCGTTCAGAACCTGAGATTTTTGTTGCAGTGAATCATAGTATGATTTTGCTGCTCCTAGCTCCTGGTTCATCTGACTCTCATCGTACATGCGCTTGGCTTCTTCTGTCATATTCTTCGACAAAACCATTAGACAATTGAGCGTCTCAGCTGCAGCTCGCAGATTCCGTTCGGTGGTTGCTACCGGACCCATGATAATCGTATGCAAGAGTTCGGCACCGAGATAAGACTGAC